TTCCCAAGAGGAACTACTACTACTACGTTTTGTGGACTAGGAAACCGAGGCTCGGGGATCCCTGGGTGGCTCAGCGGTTTAGCGCCTGCCTTTGGCCCAGGGCGCGATTCTGGAGTCCGGGGATCGGGTCCCACATCGGGCTCCCGGCATGGAGCCTGCTTCTCCCTCCTCCTGTGTCTCTGCCTCTCTCTCTCTCTCTCTCTCTCTCTCTCTCTCTCTCTGTCTATCATAAATAAATAAATAAATCTTTAAAAAAATAAATAATATTAAAAAAGAAAGAAAGAAAGAAAGAAACCGAGGCTGTGGAGGGAAGCTACTTGGTTGGAGTCAGGAGAAGAGAAGTCCATCATCACTGGGCTGTGTGCTCTGCGTCCACCCGCCTCCCCCCACCCCCCTTCTTCCAACATCGCCTGTTCCCATAAACTCCGGGCCTCTGTCCTCTACCTCGTGCCCAGCCGAGCCCTGGTTGCTCTAATAAAGTCCCTGTGTGTGGTGGCCTCTGCATCAGACCCAACCTTGCTTTCTCACTGCAGGCCCAGGTCTTCTCTCAGCACACACTTCAGACCTATTTCAAGGGAACAAAGGAATCTCCCAGCTACTAATTTCTTTCCAAAAGCTCCCAAAGGCTTCTTGCCTAGTTTAGCTCCTGGATCAGTGGCTGTTTCTGCAGATGCTCCTGCTACTGGTTGTTGACTGTGCCTGCACTCGGTGTGTAAGCAGGTGCAGGGCCTCCTCAGCCCCGCACCCCCACCCCTCTGCCCCCTACAGGTGCGCGTCTCCCTAGGGTTCTGAAATACGGGGACAATCCCGCTGCAGAGAGCAGAACCCAGGCATGGCTTCTTTGGGACACTGCTTTCTGCTCTTTTAAAGCTTAAACATTTCAAAATCGCTTCATCATTTCCAAAGGTTTGTTAGCGTGCAAAGAAACGAAATGGCGAAGGGTGTGATTATGACTTTGGATGGATTTTTAGCACCTTTTTTTTTCTTAGTTTCAAAATGCGTGGGCAGTTTGAAGACGTGAGGCTCCGTTTTGTACAGAGGGGGCTCGGGTCTGATTCTTCAACATCTGGGAGAGCAGCTCGGAAGGGCACCGTGTCCTTGTGGGCCCGAGGGAGTCAGACCTGCTAAGAGGCACATCGTGGGCTGCCCCACGTCCCCTCCAAAATTCCTGTGTTGAAGTCCTGACTCCTAGCACTTCAGAACGCGACTGTGTTTGGAGATTGGGTTTTTTTTTTTTTTTTAAGATTTTATTTAATTATTCATGATAGTCACACAGAGAGAGACAGAGAGGCATAGTCACAGGCAGAGGGAGAAGCAGGCTCCATGCACCGGTAGCCCGACGTGGGATTTGATCCCGGGTCTCCAGGATCGCGCCCTGGGCCAAAGGCAGGCGCCAAACCACTGCGCCACCCAGGGATCCCTGGAGATTGGGTTTTTACAGAGGTGATGGCTAGTAAATGAGATCGGATGCCAGAGGTCTTGTGCCCTTATAAGAAGGGGAGATTGGGACACAGACACCCATGGGGGAAGACCACATGAGGACACAGAGAGGAGCCAAGGAGAGAGGCCTTGGAAGAAACCAATCCTCCTGACACCTTGAAACCTTCAATAATAGAGCTACACGGTGATTCTGCATGAGACTTCTGGCCCCCAGCATCCTGAGACAAGGCGCTTCGGAGGCTTAAGCCACTCGGTCTGGGGTACGTTGTTATGGCAGCCCCAGAAAAACCACACAGGCCTCACGCATTTTAACTACGGGTACCCGGTTTAATCTATGGCTTTCTGTGATCCCGACTCTTCAGTCGAGCCAGAGGGGATGCTAACAGAGGAGCGCGCTTCATACATTCAGGGCTGCCATTCCCTTTGAAAGACACCTCCAAGAAGACAGTGGTGAGTCAGCCTTGCTGAGATTTCTACCTGTGGTTCTAGGAACTCAGAGGCATATTAGCATTCAGGCTTTGCATAGACCACTAAGCCACTTCTAAGAGCAAGGCTACCTGAGGGATTTTGCAAGAGTATACGTGTGCCACCGCTTTCCCTTTCCACACATACCGCCGCTCTTCGGGCCGACACCTTGCACCCCGTGAGAGGACACGAGCCGGGGTTCTGCAAGAACGTCCCGTCGCGAACCACAGGTGTTCATCCCAGGCGATTTTCATCGCGTCTTCCCTCCTCACCCAAGCAAACGAAGCGAGAGCCTGGTGCGGTGTGGTGGGAAAGGAGCGGTGCTCTCTGTGGTTGACCACATTCGCTTTGCATGCCCTCTTTCAGACCCTGGCTTGCCTCTCACACACAAGGGAACAATGGGGTGCTTGGTCTCACGCCTCTCCCTCCACCCCCCGTGGTTCACATGGGTACCTCGCCCAAAATGAGTTATGTGTTTCCTTCTGTGAGGATTGCACGGACTGATAAAACACCATCCCAGGAAGAAAACAAGATGTTGTTTTCCCCCTCCAGCTCCTAGCTGCAGTGGGTGTGTGTGTGTGTGGGGGGGGGCACTCACTATAAATTATACGTAGCCAGGAGTGACTGTGAGCCTGAGCACCACTGATGGCCAGTCTATGGGAATGCAGTTTAAAAACTCAGAACAATCTGTTGGAGGTGACCAGCCGCGATTCTCCTAGCAGCACGCTCTCAGGCGGGGCCCAAATGGCACCCAAAGCAGTGCCACTTAGGGGGGCACTTGACGGGATGAGCACTGGGTGTTATTCTGTATGTTGGCAAATTGAACACCAATAAAAAATAAATTTATTATTAAAAAATAAAAATTAAAAAAAAAAAAAAAAAGCAGTGACATGTTGTCTCCTCTCTGGCGCCCCTGAGTGTGCATGCCTATCCCGGGCAGTGTAAACCCTCACACTGGTGGATCACCTTGATAAAAGTAACTGGGAAATTGCCAAGATTTCGCTTTGGTTCTCTGACGTTAAATCTCGATATGATATTATTAAGTAAGAGATCATAAAAGCCCCCAAGTTCCTTTTCCTGAGCTGAAGGGGTGCACAATGAAAAAGGCCTTTTTCCATCAGGCCTTCTGAGACCCGATTGGGCCCTCGGGGCTCTCTCTGCACCGCTCCCTTGAAAGCAAACTGCCCCTTTGCCTGACCTGGGCCAGCTGGGTGACTTCCATCAGCACAGGGGCCACGTCAGAGCCTGGGCGCTTTCTATTTCCTGGCGCTCGAGCAGGGCCCTGGGTCCCTTCACCGTCTCTGCTGTCTGGCCAGTAAGGACAACTAACTTCACAGGCAGCCCCGCTCCACGCACACAGTCCGATCTATGGCCCGGTGGAATGTTTTCAAATTTCCTGCATCTGCCTTCCTGAGTTGATAAAATAGGAAACAATAATTGCCGGGAGGGTATTGAAAGCAGAGCAAAGGCAGGAAGATCTTTCTGTCTGTTATTCTACGAATATTGCTTCCTTTTCTTGTTCGTGGCCCAGAGGAAATGCAGCCAGGGAGCAGTTCACAGCTTCTCACCAGCGGCCGCCGTCTCTGCCACGGGAGCCCTGCACGGCTGCAAGGACGTGTGACTCACGCACGTCGCATGATTCAACTTCACTAAAATGTCCTCAGCTGCCAGTAAAGAAGCACTTGCAAACCCTCTAATTTGAAGCTTTGAATCGGTTAATGACTTGCTTTCTTCCCCTTCTCCTGAAATCCTCCCCCAGGACCCTCAACACAGACACACACACACACACACACACACACACACGCACACACACACACACACACACAAGCTTTGTCAAGTTTTTACATTTCAGGGACCCGGAAACACAGAGGCTCTGTGGCATTCACAACAGCATTTGTTGTGACAAAGTGGCTGGCAGGCCTCTGCATTCCCCTGCTCATTTGGCTGTATGAATAAATAATGAGTCACAGATACTATTTGGGTGCGCGCGTGAGTTTCTAGCCAGAAAATTAATTATTCCCCCGTCCCGTCCCACTCCACGCCGGCTGTGCCAAACCATCAAGCCACATTTCGCAGGCGTTGGTCAGAGTGCGTGCCCCGACACACTGCGATGGCTTCATGACATTTTTATGTCATTATTTTTGTTTGCTTAAGCTCGGCCCTCTTTTCCCACCAGCGATCCGCAGAAGGCACACGCACACACGGACCCACACGCTCCTGGCTGTAGCCTCCCTGCAGCTTTGCACATTTCGAGAGGCCGCTTGCAAAACTGCAGACGGGTTTTCCGCACTGGCTGTTCCTATTAGGAAGCGCACAATCTAATGACCCGAGCTGCGACAACGCTTGACTTAGGAAACGTCTTCATTGCTCTCTGCGAGAGAGACCTCTGTACACGACAGCTTGCATTTTTTTTTTCCTCTTCCCTTGAAAGAAGATGCTGGCTGCCTCTGTGCAACGGGAGGCCACAGGGAACAGGAGCGTGGCCCCATCCGGGCGGTTGTAACGCAGGCAGATGCGCCTGTCTCCTGCACTCTCTGCCTTTAGGGGACAACGGAGCTGCCACTGGGCCCCTGAGGTCCCCAGCCTGGTCTAGCGTGTGTCTGCCAGCCTCCCTCCGCCTCCGCCCTGCGCTGGCCCCGGCCCCCCCTCCCTGGCCAGCTGCACATGTGCCCCCTGGAGCCCGGGGCAGGCTGCGATGCGGGGCCGGTGGCAGGCCAGGTGGGGGACACTCAGCCACAGTCCTTGCAGGCAAAGGGGCAGGAAGCAAAACCCGGAGAGCTCCTTTGCAAGCTCTCTCTAATCTCTAGGACTTTAATCAGGAGCAGCCCAACTTACTTGCACTTGACAAAGTTCTCACACACCGACCGAACACTTCAACAGCTTAGCTAAGTATTTATTAAAACATTGCTGAAGAGCTGCCATCTGATGAATAAGTAATCCAATAGCCTTGTAATCATACGCCCGCGTTTGAATTCTTTCCACAAAACAGACGGGGAAATCGGCCCCAGCTCCGAGCACCGGGTCCCAACAGGCTGCCATTTCGTTATCTGCAAAGCTGAGCCCAAGTAGGTATCAAGAGACCAGAGCGTACTCACCTCTCATGAAGCACTGTGGGTATGAAGGAAATGACTCAAATATGCTGTCTGAAGCCATCGCTTCCTCCTGAAAATGCACCCTCTTCTGAAGGCGGGGGATTCAATGATTTCTTTTACCTTTGGAGTGAAAACCAAGAAAGGTCACTGTTGCAACCTCATGCCCAACCGTGGCTCCTTGCACCTTTTTTTTTCTCCCCCCATCCCTCTGGGGCTCCCCGAGCCCTATGAAAAAAGGTACCTTTGCGAAAACAAATATTCAAATCGTTCAAGATTTAAAAAAAAAAAAAAAAAGCGGCGCCTTGGCTGTGGGTTGGTGATGCTCACCACTCTGCGAAACCCTGTGGTTTGCAGTCAGTGTGGTTCGTCCTGCTTGCTGACCACTATGCCGGGCGCAGACTTCTGACACTGCCAGCCTACCCAACTTGTGGTTCTGTGGTTGTTTATGAGGCCCAAAGAAGTTTTCACACAACCCAAATTACAAATTTAACTGTTCCCCTTTCCACAGCCCATCTTAATTGGTTCTTGCCAATCATGTGACTTAAGTGATGTCAATTTTTTTTTTTTTTACTTTCTGAGCCATGCCCTTCCTTCCCCCCACCTGCCCTCCTCCAGGCTGTGCAAGAAAATAGCCGAGTAGAGTTTGCAAGAGAGGGGTTGTAGAGAAAAGTGACTCAGTCTCTTATTATATCGATGGTCTTTGCTGATTTAGTACAACTTGGGTCCTGTTGTTGTTATTTGTGGTTTTTGGAACGACCGATTATTTTGATAACAATTTCATTGCTGCTTATTCAATAGTAATTCAACCCTGGCATCAGGCTGCTGCTCAGACAGGATGTGGATCCCATCACTTAAGCAGAGCCGGGCATCCGCTCAGGAGAATCCAGCCCTTGGTAAAGACTATAACAGCATAAGTGAAACTATAAAAGGAAAAACAAAATAAAAGGAAATGTTTTGCGGAGCGTCTGACCCCTACGGGGGTCTAGCAACTTGCTGATATTGTGAAGTCGAGAGAAAGGGGAAGCGTTGCAATTTTGTGATGAAAAGGCTGTTGTCATAAAAGCAAAATTATGTGGTTTTATTCCTCCTAAATGAACATCTTTTCAGTAAAGAGGCCAAATCAGAGTTCTCGCTTACGCACACACTGAAATTAGGAGTCTAAAGGAAAACAAAGAAAAGAGAGGATATGTATTTTGAGCCAAAGCAGGGGCTAACCTGCGACTGTTTATTTTTTGTTCTCACCTTCTCACCTGTGAAAGTCCCACGTGTGGCCTTTCTCTACTTCGACAGGCATCGATAAGCTAATTCAGACCTGCAGGTAAAGCTCAGGCGAGCGCTACCCTTACTACACTTTGAGCGCGTTAAAGAAGACTTCACCGCAGAGACCAGACCCAGGGGGATGCTTCTCCGGAGCAAGCCCCTTCTCATGGGCCTGGCCCAGGAAGATCACACAGCTCATCCTCCACCTTAGGAGGAAGACAAGGTGGTGTGGAAGTGCTAAACACAGGATGATGTGGCACAGACTTATTGCTCTTTCCTGCTCGTTGCTTTTAAGGGCTAACAAATGAAATATCATGCTTTTTGCAGTTCCAAGATAAAGAGAGACTCTCCTTCCCTAAGTTGTTTCTATATTCACTTTGCTGTGCTCCCCACACATCCTCCAAGGCACCATGTACACACAAGGCTTCAACCCATAGGGTCAAGAGCAATTGAGGCAATGAGTTTAAAGTGCTCACCCTGGGTTCCTAGCAACACAGGCAGAGCCAGCAAAGACACATCAGAGAGTCCGAACCATCACAAGATCCCCTCGGTTTTTCCCGTAGCCACTCAGTTTCACCCATACCCACGGTGACAACGTGCTCAAGGGCAAATGGCGCAGGTCTTTTAAAAGGAAAGGACATGATTTTTACTTACTCCTGTTTTGACTAAGGCAGGAATTGAAACTCGAGAGACGGCTTTCTCCCAGCCCTGTGTGAAGTTAGCTTACCAAGTGTTGATACCTTATTAATGTTTAAAAGAAAAATAATGTATGTATTTCCTCTATGATGCTTATTAATATCCGAACATGACGCACGGTTCCTGTTGCTTTTCAGTGCAAATTCCTGGTGAAGATAACGACGTCTACGTCCCTGTGCTCCCTGACAAACTCAACTCTGGGTTCGATCCCACGTCAGACTCTTTTCCTTCTGTGTGTAATATTCTCTAGTAGGGTCTTGAGAGCTGAATGCCGTAACATGCAGCTGCCACTTGAGAGCTGGCTCAGACTTATTAATGACTTAGCAATTCAAGTGGCGACACAGATAAATTCTGATATTTCATTTTAGAAACTCCCCAGATGCTTTCAGCCTTAGGTGTCCAGATGCTTGAGAGGAGGCTCTGGATGTGTCAGCTAACTGCCCACATTCTTGGCTTCTCTCTCTGGGCCTCGCTAGAGCTGAATATATATCTTTCCCAGCAGAGTCTTCGTAGGACAGGTCAAGTTTAAAGATGATTCTAAGACTGGGGTTTGCAGAAGTCTTGCCTCCTGCTGTAATGGTCTGAAATCGTCGGGGCCGGAGTTTCGAGGGGGCACCAGAGGGCAGAGTCGAAGGCCTGCTCTGCCTTCCTCTGGCCTGCTCTGCCTTCCTCTGGGTCATCTGCCATCACAGCCACAGTAGAACCTTACAGCTCGGTGAGGCAATAGTTGGAGGTTTTCTGGGCATCCTCCAAGTTGTGGCAATAAGCAAAGCCTCAACCGGCCGCTGGTGGACTTGGCCTTACCACTTCCCTCGGAGCCCAAGATGAAAAGACACATATGTCGTCAATGAACCACCTAGAGGAATACTCAATCCTATCTTAGCTAGAACTGTTGAGGATTCTTTAAGTTTGTGCATTGACCCACACCCTGTGACCTACTTCCTGCAAGTGACTCAGACCCTGGGCTGCTGGCCTGGGAGTTGGACCCAAGCGGCTACAACTGACTGTGGCTTTGCCAAGTCATTGGATGGCAGTTTTCAACTTCACTCAAATCAGATACAGCTCCCATATACCACTATTGGGGTGGGGGTGGGGAATATGCTCAGGTGTCATTTTTAATGGTTCTATAAAAATACCACCAAAGGTGGAAAGATGCATGGTTGCATCACCCTGTAATTAATGTATAAACTTCTGTGTGCAGTCCAACCCAATTAAAGCATTCTCTGTTAGACTTTTGTATTACGTGACACAGCACCCTGTCTCTGAGTGTGTTTATTATAAAGCAGATTCTCTGGCCAGGAAAGAGAAGCAAAGAAGGACCTCGAGAACCGAGGTAGTGTAAAATTCCAAGGACACAATGCTGCTGAATTATCTCTCTGTAGAACACATTTTCATTCTTTTCTCAATCTTTGTTCCAACAGAGGTGTTATCCAGAAACTCCCATGCCATGCTGACGATGACCTCAGTGACGAATCTGAAACTGAGACATGGACGTCAGAGCTTCATGGAATGAATACAGTCGGCCCTTGGCAAATCCAGTAGTTTGAAATAACTGGAGAGTTCTGCAGGCCCAAGTGTTACAGATCTTCTTTCCTGGCCTCTCATGATGGTGTCCACAGCGGAGCATGGCTTTTTTATGCACAAGTCTCTCACTCTGGTAAAAATAGAGTTCAAATTTAAGTCCCCACAAGACTCTATTTTATGGCCAGACAAGAATTTCAGGATTTATTTCTTAACCTTCCCTAGATGAAGATGTATTGCTCTGTGGAGATATAGGACTTTAGAGGCACCTGGGTAGCTCAGTGGTTGAACATCTGCCTTTGGCTCTGGTCATGATCTTGGGGCCCTGGGATTAAGTCCTGCATCAGGCTCCCTACAGGGAGCCTGCTTCTCCCTCTGCCTATATCTCTGCTTCTCTCCGTGTGTCTCTCACGAATAAATAAATAAAATTAAAAAAAAAAAAACCAGAACTTTAAAAAAAAAAAAGCAGGCATTGAAACCCATCAATGAAACCAGTCAACCCATCCACTCAAAGCTGTCTGATGACATGAAAAGCTGTTTAATGATCACTGTTTCCAATATAAGAGTGTAAACTGCTTCACTACTTGAAGGGTGACCTCTGGGTCAGCAACATTGACATCACCCAGGAACTTGTGAGGGTTCGGGATCTTCGGCTCCATCCCAGACCTACTGAACTAGAGTCTACAGTTTTACCAGCTCCCCAAATGATCCCTTTATACATCAAAGCTGGAGATGGTGGCTCTGAGGAAGGCTTGCATAGGGAAGGGTTTGATAAAGAACATGCTATGATAATTTTCCAGTCTTTGAGATCTCTGTTTTCCTTAGAACTTTCTAAAAAGTCTAACTTTTCTACCTTGTTGCTTTGGCATAATTTTGTAAACCCTGGCTGTTTCTAGACAGCAGAAACCCAAACGAGGTGTGGCTCATATCCTCTAAGATAGAGCTTTCTCAGATTGTCACTCAGACCTCTCATCTCAAGTGCTGGGTTTGGGTCAAGTTTACAGTTTGAGGTTTGACACGCAATGTAGGGAGGCTCCTGTGTGCTCCATCTACCAAGCTGGTGGCCACATGGATATAAACAGAAAGGGTTTCTTTCCCCCTCCAGGGGCCTCAGACTCTGAGTTTTCACCTAGTTTGCATTTTGGAAACACATCAATCCTGTGAGTCTTTCCAGAAGCGTACCACGTGTTCCATGTGGCAGCATTGCAGGTGGCCTCTGTTGTCCCACCATGGGTTGTCCTCCCTGTGGGATAGCTGCCTCTGCTCTCCAGCCGTGGCCTTGCACATGTCATATCCTGTGCTTTGTTCCAAAAGGAGGGACCCAGCCTTACATTGTCCCCACTTGGATCGTCCAAGCCAGAGTCCAGAGGACCCACTTACACAGGCATCCAGGAGTTTGGCTACCTCTTTCAAATGCATCTGGATCCTTTCAGGCCTGCCCTGGGCCAGGAATCTTGTTTGGAACAGTTTCTCCTTACAGAGTTTTGGCTCTTCGACTTCTGGTGCCATTTGAAACCAGGAGGGTAAAACTGGAAAACTTAAACAAACCCTCTTTGAATGTTAGAAATGTTCAGCATTCGAGGTTTGGTCAAATGATGGAAAACATTCCGGGTTGGTACTGAACTTTCCAGCCAGTTCCTCCAACCTTGAGGCTAATTTTAGCATGAGATTCAGGCAGGGAAAGCTAAAGGAAACGAAGCAACTAAAATTACTCTGAGTTGGAGAAGCCGGAATTTACATTGGATAGATAGTGTAAGACTCAATAATTCAGTTTAGGTGGCAAATAATGAGTGTCCCCAGCATGATCAAAGCATCTGGCTTTGGGGACTTTGGACTTTTCTTATAATTGCTACTCA